TTTGCGGTTTGTAGATCCCCCTCCTGTCCAATTGCTTACCCTTGATATATATACTAATGATTGAGGCAAGTTTACAAATGTATTGTATAGTGATGGTGAGGTACATGACATACAGTATTTAAAGCTCAACTCTGGAAATAGTAAAACTCCTGACCTGCAGCAGGGTTATATGTTCATAATGTCTACGGGATGAGAAAATCAGTTTTAATTGCTAATTCTCTACTCCCTCAGCAGATGGTGCTCCCCTATGCTCCATCGGTGGACTGTTCCTCTGCCTTCTTATGCCCAACACAGGGCATCCAATCGTCAGAACCCTGAAGACGGAGAAGAGGCTATGAAGTGCGGGAGTAGAGGATTGGGTAAGTATAAATGGTTTTCCCAGTCCACTAGATATAAAGGAACATTTAACTCTTGCAGCACAGGGGCAGCCCCACTTCAACTGAGAATTTTTCATTTTCACTTTACACAGGAATTTGCTTTATGAGTATCTAAAGCCAAACTTTTTTTAATGGGGGATTACCTGTTTTTCTTTTTGATGTCCGTGTCCTACTTGGATGATTCAGACTCTCTTGAGTGAGGATCACTCAAAAATTTGAGTCATCACTAGAACAAGAAAGGAGAGGAAATATTCCAGTGGTCACAATCGTTCTTCTAGATGAGTTCCCTCACTTTGGAGATATATGCGTTCACTTCTTGTTATGTCTGATGGACAGAGAGTGTTCCCCAATGGAGATGTCAAAAAATGTGGTGGAGTTTGGTCCATTTGCTACTCTGTTCAAAATAAGCCAAAAAAGTTTTGGGGCCCAAAGCAATAAAAATAGAACCGTTGGAATGCCCCCCAAACCTGTAATAGTTGGATCATGTGAATAGACTGGTACAGGATAGGCAGGATTGGCTTTTCAGGCTCTAGTAGACTTCAACAAAATGGAGGCCTTCTGCACACAGACACCAACTCCCTGTTCCATGAATGTGAACAAAATGAGTACAAGATGGCTTCAGTTCCTGTTCTCAACCCGTAGAGAACTTCTCAGATGCGTTTCGCCCTTTTTGGGGCCTAATCATAGCTCATTAAGCCCCAAAAAGGGAGAAACACATTTAAGGAGTTCTCTGCAGGTGGAGAACAGAAGCTGAGGCCATCTTTTACTCATTTTATTCACATTCATGCAACAGGGAGTTGTAGTCTGTGTGCAGACGGACGCCATTTTGTTGCAAAAAATTTAGATATACTTTAACCTGTTGCCACACACATAACACCAATGTGCGGCAACAGAGAGTTTGGGCTTTAATTCCCACCCATCGCACATATGCATCCATCAGCAGTTGATGATTCTGTGCTTAGAGCTTGGGACAGAGAGGGACCAGTGATACTGCAAACTTAGCACACATCAAGCTGCATCTAGAGAGAAGAAGGTGGCCCTAGTGATGTTAGTAAGCAGTTGGCCAATGCAGACTAGTCAATGAGTGGTGAGACAGGGCAAGGAGTGAAGGAGAGCTAAGCACTGCACTTAGGGCCACCATTCATGTTACAATCTAACCGTATGATGCTTGTACAATTAACTTTAGATCTACCAAAACTATGTAATAGAAGGGCCTTCCTAAACTACCCAATCTGTATCCAATCAGGAAGGTCCTTGCGTTACATAAGTGTTGGTAGTTTGTACAATCAGATTGTAATTTGTGGTGAACTTTAGGAAGATCAAGTACACTAAAACACCTTTTGGAAATGAAGGACAGTAGACGAGAAGATGTAAACATGTAATGGGGGAGTACTGACAAGGAAAGTCCCTGTGTGTCATCCTAAGGATATGTATATTCTGTTATAAAGAGGCAAAGCGTGTTCACAAATCAGAGTAATCAGAGGCTTTAACCCCCATTGGGGTCCCTCCCAATATTAGCGCAAGAACTGAGAATTCCAGATGTGGCAGAGACAGGAATTAGTGACACACATGGGGATACAAGTTTTAGCAATGGCACTTTCATTAAGTGGTGTGAGTCATACATATGAATTAATGGAGTTATTACAATCATTTTTTGCTATAATGACTGTTATTTTCAGCAACGAGAGCAAAAAAGTCACATGGCTGAAAATACCATTACAGTAAATATTCCATGGATATTAGCGTAACAATTAAAGCACTATTAAACCCAAAACCAAAAGTATTAAAGATTTTGCTGCGTACCATTCCTTAAACGTGGCAGCATCATTTGTTTGTTTTTTTTTAGGTTTTTTTCCTTTTATTTTCACCTGGTGATCCACACTTCCTGTCCTAGGGTCTCCACGCTGGATAGAGGAGCAACTGGGACACCCTTGCAGGGCAGCATTGTCAGTCAGGGGAGAGGGTAGTGTTAGATGCACTAGCAAGTTTAGACAGACTTGACTAACAAATAAAGCCAAACTCCAGCTAATATGTTTTAAAGAGTTACAGAAACATTTTTCCCTTTTTGGTATAAAGGTTTCACATAATAGAATAAAAGCTGATCATTGTAAGCACTCCTTTCAGTGGTAAATGGTTTGTTTCAACCCACTAGCATCCGATTTTGATGACAGTTTGGTCAGGTAAATAATAGACTTACCGGCTGGATCACCAGGCGACTATAAAGGGAAAAAAGCCTAGAAAGGCAAGCAAATTTGGCCACCACATCTAAGAATTGGTCAGGTAAAATATATAAAATTTTTGGTTTGGGGTTTAATACAGCTTTAAGCTCCACTTGCATACCAAATCAATGCTTAGCTGTTTGACTGGGTGTGAAAAAAGATGCCATTAAGGAAAATAGTTTTGGTAGCTCCATGTATTATTCCACTATTCTATTTGTAGTGTTATTGTTGTTAGTTGCACTATATCCAATCCAACTGCGTACATGCCACATGGCCAGAAGTGACCACTCAAAAAGTAATCCCTTTGTTACAAATAGCCCCAATGTTCTAAATCAACAAATCTCAATTTTGGAGGTGTTCGCTTGGGTTGCTTCACAAATACAAAACAGAATGATATGCTGAAGGCGTAGGTCTTATTTCTTGAGTACACAGTGGCAGGCTCAAGAATGTAAATGGCCCACTGAATGGCTTTATGGCCAGATCCACTGAGAAGAGAGTCCAACCCTAGTTAGGGGGACGGCGGCAGCGTCAAGCTTATTTGTAAAGGCTTTAAAGTTGTTTTTTTTGTACACAATGTTAATGCCCAATAAAGAAACCCCAAATGAAAACTTCTGCAGTAAACATAAATACCAGTTTTCATGTAACCCTGGCTTCTACCCCAGTTACCAATCAAACAGAAATATATGTAACACATATGTCAGGTAAGTCACCTACAGTTAAGAGATAGACAGAAGAGACTTAAAGCAGAACTAAACCCTCTTGTCCTTTATAGCCAAGGAAGCCGCCATCTTAACCTCTCTTCAATCTGCAGTTGCACATGTGACCAGTTATGACAGCAGCCATATGATGTCTTGACAACTTGTTTGAGAGCACAAGCAACTGTGACAATTATCAATCATGGCATGCCTTGAATATACAGTAACTGTTTTTAGGAAACCTTTAAAACAATGGGTTTAGTTATGCTTTAAGCAGACATGTATCAAGCTAAAGGAAGGAAATAAAGACAGGCTATGGGCTCTATTTAATATCGTAGTGCATTGTGCAGTTAGCTAACTGCTAGTTAGATTTCTATAGACTAAAGCTGAACTCCAGCCACAAATATTTCAATTAAGTATATTCCTCGATAACCACAAATGATATAAATCCATTTTATGTGCACCAAATGCCTTTGCAAGCCCAGCTATTGCCAAACAATAAACCAAAAGTAGCAGTAACATCATCAACGTACTGCACATAGCCTGTTCAGGAGGCAAAGCTGTGTGAGAGACTCAGCAGGCCCTCCCACTACAGGCAGAAAGCAGAAAACTACAGGTGGGGGCGGAGACAAGACCAGTCAGCCTGCACAATGAAAGAATGCAGCAGTGATTGGTCTTTGCTACAAGAAGTTCCTGCACAGAGGCAGAGTTTCATTCTGGGTAACTGCACAGACATGGAAAAAGTATATAATGCACACAAAGATTCAAGTAAGAATACACATGCCTCTTATATTTAGGCAAAATCTGCTTATCCCCGAGTTAACTTTAATTGGTCAGGTCATTGAAAGATGATTAGTTGTTATAGATTTATTGAACTTTGGTTAATGATTTCAGTTCTGTGTTGTGGGGCAATCTGATTAATGTACCTGTAGTATCCATCAGTATTAACTCTCAGTGGTTCATATAATTACAGTTCTACTCTCTTTATAGAGTGTAAGAAGGGAAAAGGGACGAAGAGGCTTCTTTAGTAAGGCAAAAAACATCATGTATGTTGCAGTAACCCAGAGAAACAAATCTGCTTCTCTTATTTTGGATGTTTTAAATTAATCCATTGTGAAATCATTGCTTTTGTCACTGCTTTAAATAGGGCTGGTCACAGATGGACATAGGGCTTCAAACATAATAAAGTGCCTGCAGCGCTTTATCGTTTCCTTTCTTCTTCTCATTGAGTAGGATAGACCAAGTTGGAAAGTTTGTGCATGAAAGCAGGTGCTTATGACAACATATAAAATTCATGTTACTACTTCCTAAGGTTACCCATAAGCAGCCCTACCTTGCCCGAGAGTCGCATTGGGAAGCTTGATGAGAGGGGAATGAGAACATTTATGGCCAGAATATGTCCAGTAGCTTTCTATGTTTTCTTTCTGCTCACTCTGACATTTAAATTCTTCCATGTCTAGATTATACCATTTTCAGTTTACATAAGCTAGGTGTTCATCAAAATATTTAAGGATCATCCCTACTAAAAAATGATATGGATTGTACCAAACTGATTCATCATTCACTATTCTTTCTCCCACCTGGATGTTTCAATAAGAGGATACTTAAGCCAAAAAGTATTAAAGTTGTAAATAGCAAAAGATAAATAAGTTTATACTTTATCTGAGTGACTTGTCCATAAATATTAAGTCCTATGTTCTGTCCCCAGATCAAACCACAGTGCTAAGTGTTGAGGGCTCCTCTGTGTGCCTCTGCTTGCTAGGCAGGGATTTGAGGTACTCCAGATGACGTCGAGCATCCTCCTGGTTCTGACGTACATAATACACCAAGTAAGAAATGACCATGGCAAACCAACCAAACATCGTGACGAGCATGGCCACGTCCGTGGTTTTCTTATAAGCATTGCACAGGTCAATATCTTTGACCACTTGAAGGAAGGGCTTGCCAGCATGTTCCTCCAGTACAGAACTAGCACACACAATTCCACTGGATGAGCTGGGGTCCAACTCTACCATCCTTATGAGTTCTTGAAGGTCACAGTCACACGTCCAAGGGTTGCCAGAAAGATTGGTTCTTGCCTTCAGGTTAGCAAAGACCTCCTTGTTGACAGACACTAGTTTGTTGGAAGACAAGTCTAAAGAGTGTAAATGGTCGCTCAAGCTCCTGAAAGCTGTAACATCTAAACGACCCAGGAAATTGTGGGACAGGTCTAGCTCCATAAGAACAGGGAGATTGCGGAAAGCATCTGAAGGGAGGTAGGTAATCTGATTGAAGTCTAGGTACAGTCTGTTGGTGTCATTGGGAATGTCTTTGGGTACTTCTGTAAGCTGAGCATTGCTGCAACGCAAAGTCTTGTAGCCATCCTCTTGGGAGGCATGACAGCCCTTGGGGAAAGTTGTAGCTGACTGGAAGCAGAGGGACATAAGGACCAGGCTGTGTAACAATAGCCATGTTGCTAATGAGCGCCGGAGGTACCAGTCCAAGAAAGGCATGGCCGGCCAGCAGCATACTCAAGAGAGAAGTTGTTGTAAATATGAGGCTCTGGATGTTCGGATTATTGGTTGTTTACATGTTGTTTACATGTTGCCTGAAACAAAGGAACCACAGAGTAAGTATAATATCATGCATGATATGATAAAGCTTGCAAAAAAAACTAATAAACCTAATACACAGGCAAAAAGACATTACAAGATATCAGGACACATACTCCTCCCATGCTTTTAATGCAATGGTATACTTGCAACTCTCCACTCTTCCTAATGCATTAATATCAGGACACACATGCTTCCCCTCCCTCTAATGCATTCATCACATACATCAGGACACATACCTCTTCACTCTTCATAATGCACTGATATAAGGACACATATCTCTCGCATCCTTCAGATGCATTGATATCAGGACACATACTTCTTCACTGTTCCTAATGCAGTGATATAAGGACACATACCTCGCCATTCTTCCTAATGAATTGATATAAGGGCATGTACCTCTCCCTTCCTCCTTTTACACAAATATCAGGAAAAATACCTGTCAGGTCATCCTGATGTACAGATACCCGGACACCTACTTCTTCCCTCCATCTAATACATAGGTGTCAGGGCACTTACCTCTTCCCTTCTTCTAATACACAGATGTCAGAACACTTGCCTCTCCCCTCCTAATACACGAATATCAGGGCACATACTTCTTCACACCCTAGTACACAAATAGAGAAAACAGGACACCTCTCTTCCTCCTAATACACAGATATCAGGAAACATCTTTTCTCTAAATACACAGGTATCCAAACCCATACTGTACCTTTCAGCTTCTCCTGATACACAAAGATCAGAACATATGCTTTTTCACCTACTCCGAGCTCATCCAGTTAAGTTGTCCCTTCTTACATCTGCCATATGCATGAGATACAACTATTATACTATACTGTGATTTGACTAGACATTTTTTTCCAAGAGGGGAAATATATATTAAGTATTTTCAAGCACCAGCGGCAACTGACAACATGATTATGTAGAGGTAGATTTTATATTACATAACCAAAACAAAGCCTTGATTCACCCCTCTGAAGTTTTGCTAACCAATTTGTGCGTCAGGTGATCAGCAAAGGCAGGAAAAAACATATTGCATCCATCCCTCAATCCTTCACCAGTAGAAACGGGATATACAGCAACTCACTTGCAGGGCTAAATGTAGGGTGGGCATTAATGGCTAGAAAAGGCATCTCTGTATACACTCATATCCAATTCTGTTCTCAGTTCAAACTGTGACTGAATGTTAGCTCCATTTACCCATCGAGATCATGCAGAGAAAGCAAACCAGTAAAGCAGTTGGCCGCTTCAGCTGCTCCTATGTTGTCTCACAAGCACTCGGAGCCCATACATGGGCCGATTATTTCACAGTATGAAAAAATGCCACTGCCCCAGTCTATAACTGGCCTTCACAGTAAGGAGCACATGGATGGGTGACGCATGTCAAACAACAAAAAAGAAAAATTCCCAGCTCACACTTGCCAGCCAGCCTGCAAACAAACTGAATTACCTGTATGCGTTTAAAAACAGGGGTTTAGTTAGCACACATTTGCAAATACATGCCTCATCATGGCACCCCAGAATTCTGTAGTTCCTAACTCTTCAAATTTTAAGAGCCCCCATAGCAGAGGCACATGTATTTCATGGATAGACTAAGGGCAGGTAGACCTGAGGGAGCCCACCCCTCCTTGAAGGTACAGGAGCACACTGGACACTCAGCATGTAGCACAATGGCAGCTAAGGTTTATTCACAGACTTGGTCATTTTGGCCATAAATGTGTATGCAATTTGACAAAGCTTGACAAAGGAGCGTCCACATGCGTTCCAGCCCTTTCCTGATCCTCATTCACACTAAGCCGGCTCCTGGAGTGAAACAAGTCTCATACCGAACAGAAGAGGACACGGCCATCGTGTGAGATTCTCCTCACTTCACCAGAGACCATTTACTATGTGCCTGCCTTTCTCTCCAACATGTGAGTTGTTAATATACACCTTTTTTGGAATAAAAATTGTTTACAGTCTACACTTAGAGGTGCCTTTGTACTTCCTTTTGTCTTTCATGCAGTATCTACTCCAAGCAGAGGCTTGTCCTAAAGCTGCAGATACCCACTATATTCCGGTGACCTCTCCCTGGGAAGAATGCTCCTTACACTGGAGGTTTTAGGGAATAATCCCCCCTTACAGATAGCTAAAAAGATTATTATACAGCATTTATATATCGCCAACAGTTTGCTCAGCGCTGTACATTACAATGGAGACAATACATGAGACAGTACAGTAACAATACAATAAAATACACAAGGGGTTTGAGGGCCCTGCTCCTTGGAGCTTACAATCTAGGAGGGAGGGATCACTGGTGTCAGTGTATCCGAGAGACACCAATTGCCCCATTGGTCAAGGAACCTCTGTCAACCTCTGGGGGAACCCTAGGGTTCCACAGAACCCTGGCTGTGAAAGGCTATGTTAGAGGAAACAATAAGGTTAAATCATTATGACTAGGATCATTGTTTTGAGGCTTGAAGTAATGTAGGAGTTGGTTGGACAAACCACAGTGCTTTAGATGTAAGCAAAGGTTAAACAGACCTCGCTACCAACTTTAAAAAATTGCAGTGAAAAGAGCACATAAATAAAGCATTTCAAATTCTTACTTCCAGTGTGTTTCCTTTCCATAAATTATTTTTTTTTTCACTTGCAATGTGCCTTTGAAATTACTAGAAAATTTGCTCCAAAAAGCATCACTTGCTATGCACAGCCTCCCTCCTTGCATGTTATAGTCCTCTCCTATTCTGAGAGTGTGTCATTATTCACTGTGCTGGTCCAGTTCTTTTTCCTTCCCTTCACCCCTTTGCATGACCCTATGTACAGCTGTTGAGGAGATGAAGTTACTAGAGTGTCACTTGAGCGACAACTATGATTCTGATGGAGCTTCTGACATCACATCCAAGATGGTGGCACTGAGCAGCAGTCTATGGCTTTTTGATGCTTACATAAGAGGGGGTTTCACAAGTTATTAATAGGTCTAAAATATGCTCATTGCACATACACTTGTATGGGAATTTTTGTGTTGAAATCAGGGGCAGACTGACCATGTGGAAACTCGGGCACTGCCTGAGGGCCCGGGGTCAGTAGGGGCCCCATGAGATGCCCCTGGTACCTTTTTCATAGGCTTTTTTGACTTTGGGCAAGGACACAGGGGCCCCATGATCCCCTATTGCCCGGGGGCCCCATGAGTTGTCAGTCCGCCCCTGGTTGAAATAAATGGCCTGGCAATCTGTAAGAATCAAGGGGCTTTTTTTAGGATTAGATTAGAGATTAACATTAAGTGTTAAGCAAACCTTGCCTGGGGAGTTACGCTACCCTTGAGCTTGTCTGAATATTTTTGACCCCTGGGAGCCATGGAGCAACTATCATTATTTACCTCTACTCTTCGACATATAGGTTTGAGCCTTATTTGCTTACTTTCTGTCTGTTCTTTTGTATTTTTTTACTTGAAAAGTTAATAAAAACCTATTAAAAATTGTTAAGCAAATGATGCACACTGTTACAATCAACTAAGTGCACCCCCCCAAAATAATCCAATACATATTAGGGTGAACTGTCCACTTTTATTATCAATCATTAACCGATACTATGCTCGCCTGAGAAAGAGGATTAATGGATAACTCCATCAGTTACTGTAGAATTAATAGACTGTAACCATGTCATTCCACACCATCAAAAATAAGCACATTTATAAATCAAACATTAAAGCCACATAAATCATTTTTTCTCTATGTGTTTTAATGGGCAGCCAAGTCCCCCACATGACCCAAAATTAAACCACTGCAGAAAACATTGTCCCATTGTTTTTATAGATGTTTTTCTCCTAAATTTCCAAATAGGAGATAAAGATGTCTAATTCTATAAGACCATTTTTTCTTGCCATTACTTCCTGGACCCAAGACCTCCTTCAGTTTTTCATTCACAAATGTTTTATTGATTTCAGGTCAAACACAGTAAAGTACAAAGTGCATCAGAGATACAAAATCAGCTCTAACTTTTGTAGACACAGTTCGTCAAGTTAAAAAAAGTCCATCGCGTTCAACCAAGAGAAAAATGAAGAAATAGAAAACATTTATATAACACAATCCTAGAGCCACCGTTGATCCAGAGGAAAGCAAAAAAAAAAAAACTCAAATAAAGCAGGATCCAATTTGCTCCAGCGGGGACAAAAACATTTCTTCCTGATCCCCTAGAAGGCAATCGGATATTCCTTGGATAGTCTCTAGTGTTATCACCTGTAAATGTTATTATCACATTACGTATATTTTTATGCATTTAGGAATGCCTCCAACCCTTTTTTAATAGTTACAAAGACACATAACAATGTGGGAATAAATACCTAACATTTCATTTATCAAACATGTAACTAAAGTAGCACCTTTATAATCTGCATCATCAGCTATTTAGAATCCAGTGCTTTCCCCAAGACATGTAGCCGAAGCAGAATAAACAGCACTGTTAAAGTCCATCTCCAGGAAATGGAAGAATGCTCCATTGGGGCTGTCCCCACACTATAAGCCTAGGTTCACACTTTTTTCGGTGTGTTTTCCAGTTTGCAGAAATGCAATACTGTCCATTAAACATCATTTCCTATAGACCTAGTTCACATCCGCGCAATATGAGCCAGTATGATTTTTGGAAAGACTTCAATGGAACCACACCAAAACAAAGGTGTTGCATTTTTTGTTTGCATTTTCCTTTTTTATTTTTATTTTTTTTTGCTAATAGGAAAGTATGATAGTTCTGTTCATGTAGTGAGACTTTGATGCAACTTTAGAAGGGTGCATCTTTAATGCGACTTTCTCTTGCACTCAAATAGCAACAAAGTCACATCAAAGTAGTGCAGGGAC